GCACTCCATGTGAGTAGAAATGTACACCATAGGTATTCGATTGTCAGGACTTTCTTCCAGAGCACCTCTGGGTGCACTTGAGCTGCCAATATTTTAGTTAGCCTAAATGCGTCAGACTGCAGTCATTTGAACTGCAAGGTCAGTGGTTCAAGCTCACCAGATGCTCCTTGGAAACCCTATTCAGGGTTGCTATGGGTCAGAATCGACTTGATGGCACTTAACATTAACCATTAGCACCACCCTGAGAAGCGGTATAGTGTAGAAAAGACTTCTCAGTTCTGGATGTCCAAAAGCATCACCTGTCAAACACATATATATGGCCAGGCAACGCCTCAGAACTAGTCAATCAGTTTACTGGAGGAGACAAGCACATGTGTGCCTTAAGCCTCCCAGGTGATTCTAATGTGTAGCCAGAGTTGAGAACCACCGCGTAATGGGTTAAGAAGGGGGGGCCAGGGGGAGAGAGTCTCTCTATATGAATTTCATCACTTACTTGAGTCTCCTTGAGACAGAAACATGAGCAAATTAAACAATATCTATGTGTCTTGGTAAAATGAGGATAATAATCTTTCCTGAGATAACTCTGAAAATTACTGTTAAGTGTTTAGATACTACATTCCACTTAATAAATGCTTAAAAAAAAAACACACCACCAAGCCCACAGCTGCCAAGTCATTTCCAATTCACACCAACCCAATGTTGTTATGAAGTGCTGCTGTTACCAGGGAAAGGAGAATGAATCACTGTAACTTAAGAGGCAAATTTTAAAATTCAGCTCTTATTACTATACAGTATTCTGGACAGAAGAGATATAAGGAGAGGTTCAGGGAGTCCTGTCAAGAGCAAGTGTTTCAGTTTGGCTGGATTATTCAAAAGGAATGTTAGGTGCGGCCATCCTACTAACAATTTGGATAAAACAAATTGGATGTGGGGGGTAGGGAAATGGGAAAGTCGGTTCTGACTCATAGTGACCCTACACAGGGTTTCCGAGGCTGTAAATCTTTACGGGAGCAGAAAGCCTCATGTTTCTCCAGCGGAACGCCTAGTAGTTTCAAACTGCCGACCTTGAGGTTAGCAGCCCGATTCGTAACCACTATGCTACCAGAGCTCCTTGGAAAGTCGGTTAGAGGTTTTTAATTCCATGAGAGGGAGTGTGGTGGCTCCATCCGATAAGCACTGGACTGTGAACCACAAGGTTCACAGTTGAGCCCCCCAGCTGCTCCAGGAGAGAAAGATGAGGCTTTCTGCTTCCTTGAAGATTTACAAGCCTCAGGAAATGCAATACAGGGTAGCCATGAGTTGGAACCGAATGTACAGCAATTAACAACAATTTAGTAAAAATTTCTGCAAGGAAAATTAAGTTTGTTTGATGTTGTGCTGGGTTGACATTAAAGGAGAATGTCCAAAAAAGAAGCAAGAATTTCAGATAAGGAATTCAGAAGGGTAGTATGTACTGGATACAGATTTGGGAGACAGTAGCATGGATAGGATAGATGAAGTCAAGGGCCTGCATGAGTCCTCTCAGAGTGACTGGACAGCATCAAACACAAGATGACTAGCATGAAAGTCTACAGAATGCTTACATGCCAGCAGAAGAAACGACACTGAAGGAGAATGAGAAGTGCTTGAAGAAGAGACTGGTAAACATGTGGTTTTAAAAACAGAGTAAGTAAAAGGACCAAGGGTCAAGTAAAAGCGTCAAGTAAGCTAAAGGCAGAATAGAATTGGTTTCTGGAAACAGGGTGTCACTGGTAACTCCAACTAGAATCCCAGGGAGATGTAAATGGTTAAGCACTCACCTACTAAAAAGAAAGGCTGGCATTTCAAATCTACTCAGATGTACCTCACAAGAAAGACCTGGTGATCTGCTGAGATCATAGATACTGAAAGATAATCATAATACATTAGTAGGTAACCATAGGTAAGCACTGAATACTGAATTAGCAAGGGTTTTAAACATCATTTTACAGATAAGGATTAAAAGGAGATGGGAAGGGAGCATGGTGTGAGTTAACAGTACAAAACACTCACCTTCAGTCTTACCAAGTTAACAGACAATGTGTAATCAGTAAATAAAGATTTCACAGATTAGACCATCTATTATTTTTAAAGATGGAGTTTGGGGAGGTGGACTCAGGGACACGGTGAACCAGGTTAGGAAAATGACTGTTTTGAGCTCTGAGCCTTATAGTATCATTTAATTTTTTAACTAGGAGCATGTATTACTCAGATACAAACAAAAAGTACATACATTTTTTTCTAAATAAAGCAAGGTAAGGATGGGGTTATGAGCTTGAGAAAAACCGTTGGAAACAATTATTTTTTTCTTCTGTAAACATGATCTCGTAGGCTCCATACCAGATTTTTGAAATTGAAGGACGAATCACAATGACAGAGGCACACCTCTGAGATATTGCGGATTTGGATCCTGACCACTGCACCAGAGAAAGTATTGCAACAAAGAGAGTCACATAAATTTTTTGTTTTCCTACTAAATATAATCATTATGTTTATACTATATTCTATTAAATATGCAAGAGCATTATGAAAAAGTTTGAAATATTCTAAGAATTACCAAAATGTGACAGACACAAAGTACTGTTGAAAAAATAGCACTCACAGATTTCCTCAAAGCAGGGTTGCCACAAACTTTAAATTTGTAAAAAGAAGAAGAAAGAAAAATGCAGTATCTACGAAGCATAAAACAAACAAACAAACAAACAAAAAAAAAAAAAAACGCAGTAAGGCTGTGTATCAGACACGTTACTAACCGAGACATTGTAAACCATTTTAAGAGGGATTCAAAATGAGCAACAGCTTCATAATGAAGTACATACAAAATGAGCTCATTTTTGTTTGAAAAAGAGGGTTCAAATGTGTACACTTCATATATGTATGTATGGGATGTATGTGTACAAACAGGAAGATGGTATATCCTGCTTGTATATTATAAATGTTATCCTAAAGAGTCCTATTCACAAAATAAGATATACAAATTATTTTTGAATAATTGACTCATCAATCATCCTTCTTCAGTGTCTACAGAAATGTCAGCCAAAAATACTCAACTACATTAAAACCGAAAAGATTAAAAAGCTACCTAATGAGGGCAGAAAGCCTTTAGAAAAACTGGAAAAGTATAGGCAAAAAATGACATATACTCAATCACAACTCCAAGTTTCAAATATTTATAATCCAATACAAAATCCCTGAAAGCAAACTATACACCTCAGTAACATGAATTATTAATTACATTTTACTTAAAATTTTATTTATGATACTCTTAATTAAAATAAATTGTAAAAACCTATTTTAGAATACAATGAGATATTTTAAGTGCATGCAATCAACTGAACAAATTGAGTAATTATAATCTCCATCTTAGTATCATACATTTACTATATTAGAGATGCAAGGCAATAAAATAACCACTGCCTTGAAAACCTGGAGTCCTGATGTGCAACTGTGGGTTAATGCACTGAACTGCAAAGTTGGTTTGAACCACAAGGTTGGCAGTTCAGGATCACCAGCAGCTCCTCAGAAACCCTATACAAGGTCGCTATGGGTGGGAACCAACTTAATGGCACTTAACAACAATCTTGAAAACTTTACAGAAGCAATTTTTATTCTATGAAACATAAGACTCACCTAAGCCTGTAGCAAAACTTCTTTAAAGCTGGTCTTATGTGAAAAGACAGGGCTAAACAATAAATTAATTCTTTAACAATATGAATTATTAGCAAGTACAATTTTCTTTTTGAATTTGAATTAGTCAATGAATTTTATTTTTTCAGTTTTTATTGTGAATTGATTGATAGTTTACAGGAGAGAACATTAGTTTTACACTCAAACCATTGTATTTCGTTTCATTGCAATGATTACAATTCCCTCCATGCATCATCATTCAACGGTATTTTAAGCCAATAACTTTTAAGGGATAATGGCTGAATAAAATCTAGCAGAAATAAAAAGAGTTTGGGAAAAAAACAAATAGTTCAATACTAGCAAAACAGTGCATTTGCCAAGTTCTAGTTTTCCAATGCACAAATAGATTAGTCTACACATCTTGAAACACAAGTTTTGACTTTAGTAAAATGATATGCTCTATCTAATTATACCAGATAGCTCATGAGTTTATATAAAATCTTCTTACACAAGCACTTTATACTGAATCCAAATGAATACTGAAATGCAGTGCTGTGGCCAATAAATTGCAGAAATGTCCATTAAGTGTCCACATAATACTGATTAAATGCTCTTAGGAAATTTTATTCGGAGGTATTGGTAACTTGAAATGGCACAGTAATGTTAACGCAATGGTAAATGAAATGTTGAAAAGGTTAACCACATAATCTTTCCTCCAAATTCTGAAGCAACAATATAGAATAGTGGCTTATTATTTTATGTATCTGTTATAACTAGGAAATGCCGCTTTCAAAGTAATTTATTTTTTAGTGCTTATTTTTGAAGAGCCTGCTATTGGGCAGGCACTGTGCTCTGTGGTGCATGTACCATGCTGAACAGTACAGATAGGTTCTCTGCAAACAGTAAAACCTTGGACTAAGGAGTACTCCTTATAACCTTATAAAATCAATTCAATATGGCTTTTGGAATTCAATAGAAAAATTTTTTCCAGAAGTTTATTTTTTAATTAAGAGTGCTATAAATAATAAGTCACTATTTCAGAAAAACATAAATACTTAATAACTCAACATTGCAAATTGGCTACTGCAATTGATAACCTATCTCATGGACAGTATTGCCTTGGTATTTTTCTCAAAGTATATTCTTACACACAAAACTTTCCCAAACAATGAAACTAATAGTTCATCTATCTTTAGTAAAATAAGGAATATGTTCCAATATTTTCATACTGGACATCAAACACAGTTTAAGCAATTCATTATAACTTTGAAACACATGTCCTAAATTCTGTAACATCATCAATGCATCAAAAATTCAGGGAAAATGAAGTTCAGGTGAATATGTTGAAAGTGTTGTAATTAATCTTCGTCGTCTCTTTGAAAAGATATTATCTGAATTTCTTTGGCTATCCTTTCAGCTAATGTTCTACTACTTGCAGCAATTATTCTTCGTGACATCAAATCAAATGGTCCACCTGAAATCAAATCAAATCAAATCAAATATGGGAAAAGGTTATACTTTGTATAAAAGTAATTAACAGAAATTTGACACTCCATCAGTAGCACACATGCACACACAAACTCTGTCATATAGCCACAATATTTAAAGTTTGGCTCTAGATAAATATTTTCTAAAAACCTTTTTAGGGACCACGGTAGATGTAGAGGATAAGCACTGGACTGTGAACCGAAAGTTCTGTGAGACAGTAAAAATAAGGCTTTCTAATTCCACAAAGATTTATAGCCTGGGAAACCCTATACATACAGGGTCACTAAGTCTGAACTGACAAAAACAGACACCACTTGGTGAGTCTCAATTCAAACCAGTCTGAAAAAACACCTTTTCTTTTTTCTTTTTTTCCTTCATGCCTTATTACTCTTAACACCTTTTTGTTAAGACTCTATGAGCTGAAAATTTGGCTTCAGTGAATTTTCATACTATTCTCCTTCCCAGTTCCTAAATTTCTTTATTGCCGTTTCCAGATATGAATTCCTTTATCCCAAGTTTATTCACTTTAAGAATTAGTCAGTTCAGTCTTTTGAGTCTTGGTTTCCCTGGCATACCATTATAAAATAGACACTTGAGGGGGAGAAAAAGGAATAGCCAGAAATACCACCACAGAAAGCATGTTAGTTGGTCTTCTGCATATAACTGATAATTGTTGTTGTTATGTGCTGTGGAGTGGGTTACGACACATAGCGACCCTGTACTAGGTTTTCAAGGCTGTAAACCTTTACGGGAGCAGAAAGCCTCATCTTTCTCCCACGGAACAGCTGGTAGTTTCGAACTGCTGACCTTGTGGTTCGCAGCCTGATTCACAACCACTATGCTACCAGAGATCCTTAGATAACGTTTTGTTGTTGTTATGTGCCGTGGAGTCGATTCTGACTCATAGTGACCCTGTACAGGGTTTCCAAGGCTGTAAATCTTTACGGGAGCAGAAAGCCTCATCTTTCTTCTGAAGATTGGCTGGTAGTTTCGAAATGCTGACCTTGAGGTTAGCAGCCGATTCATAACCAGTATGCTTGTAATACCTAAAATGGGGCTACAACGTGCCCAGTTAAGGAGACTTCCTGAGGAGCCTTTGCATTACATAAGACCATAGGTGGAATCCTGAACCCCATCCAGAATCTTCTGAGGTGGGAAATTTCCACTTGAAAGGACAAGCAGACCAACCTAGAGCAGCTAAAACAGAAGATACTTCTTGAAAGAAAAACCGACAGGAAAAATACGAAACAATATAGGCAGTCTGACTAATTACTACAAGAACAAGCAAGTGGCTCACCCAGGAGACATCAAGGCAAGTAGTCGGGTCCCTCAGGGCAAACCCCCTTCCAAGACTAGGACTCAATGGGAATACACACTCTGATTGGTGACCATGTTCGTCACTGATAAGGGGAAGTGAAGGAAAAACAGCAATGAAGCTGAGAGCTAAGCCCTACAACGTTCAATAGACTCTTGTGAACCCAGGTGAAGACTTGGTCGGCCAGCAGTGTGGCAAGACTTGGAGACTCTTCAGTCCAGAGTCAGTGACATAGCCACAGAGGACTACAGTGGAGAGTGACGCATCCAGCTGATAAGAAGAGAGGGCATGTGCCCATAACACCCATAACACTTCCAGATAATACCCAATTGACCTGGCTTCAATGACTGCATGATCAGAGCTCAACTAGAAGAAGAAAGAAGAGGAAAAAAAGAGTAATCTGATACAATTTGATGAACTTGACCTACACCTATGGATGCAGTAGCTCAAGAGGGAACAAATCTTTACAGAGAGGATCATTCCCAACCCCTCCATACACAGAGTAAAAAGGGATGGGCAACTTGGACACTGGCTACACAAAATGGGGGGGGGGGGGGCTACACAGGCAAGAACTGACTGGCTTACAAGCTTTCAAGAGGGTACCTAGATTCAGAGGGTGTGAAGGAAGGTAGACTCTCCACTGAGTAGTATCTAATCTGTGTGGGCGGGGCTAAGGAAAGGAGATGGGGATAGGTCCCTGTGGTACAATGGTGAATAATTGTTATCAGGATTGACTGCAAGGCTTGGAAATGTAAAGGTGGACATTTTGTAGCAAAGGGAGGGGAGTGATCAACTATGCAGTCCAGGAGAGGAGATCCCTGGAATCATCAAGGGAGAAGAGTAGAGTGCGAGACCCTATCCAGAGAAGCAGTGACATTAGAGATGGAAGCAGAGACAATGACATAGCCATATGGAGCAGCCGGGGACTCTAGACCCAGAGAGGGAGAGGGGCTGTGTGCTGACAATTGGGAGGCAGGCTTGCAGGCTATACCCTTTGGTTGGTTGATGATGCATGGAGGGGATTGTAACCATGGCAATGAAACAATATATGATAAAGTGAATGTAAAGCTAATGTTCTCCCATTTAAATTATCACATATTCTCATTAAAACATTTGAAAAAAACAAAAAAAAAGGATCAGTGAGTTCAAAACAACTATCTAAACTAAGCCCAAGGCAGAAAATGATACTAAAGGAAGTCTGTCCTGGATTATCACAATCAACACTCAGAGTTCTTTGTAAGTGTACTGGTTCTAGAATCTTCTAGACCTCTACTACAACCACTGAAAGTTCCTGACACATTTGTAGAGGTTTACACACTTATTAATGAGCTCTAGTAGAATAGTAGGTTACACTTTAGAAAGCTAACTGCAAGGTCAGCAGTTTGAAACTACCAGCTGCTCCTCGTGAGGAAGGTGAGGATTTCTGCTCCCATAAAGATTTACAGGCTTGGAAACTCTACAAGAGGATGCAATAAGTGGGAACCGATTCCATGGAACATAGCCACCACCACCATTAGTCACTTATTGTTCATGTATTCCCACACAACCATAAGCTTTGTAGTCCTGCCTCTACCTCAAATGTGTTTATTTTCATTTTGCAGAAAATTTTATGACTTGTATTTTTTTGCTAATAAGACTTGAAATAAAATATATGTAAGATTTTTTTTCTTTCAAATAGCCACACAGAGGAAAGTACAAGTGGGAAGACAAATAGTGCCCCATAGTTTACCTGTTACATCCATCAGCACACCACCAGCTTCAGTAACAATAATGCCGGCTCCGGCCATATCCCAGCAGTGAATTCCCATTTCATAATATGCATCTGCTCCTCCAGATGCCACAAGGCACATATTAACAGCTGCTGTTCCAACACCCCGGATCCTAACAAGTAACATTTAAAATTTCAATTGGAAAAAATAGTCCTTTCAAATAAGATATCGTTCCTTAACTTCACTTTATTAAGAGTTAAGTGAGATAACCTGAAGCAACGTAGAAAACAAATGTTTTTTAAGAAGCTTATAATTTTACAAAATATTAAAAATCTATCATGGTATCTTGAAACAATCAAGAGGTTAAGTATTTTTGAAAAGGTGGTAAGATTTTGCAATAAAATATTTAAAATCTAATTATCATGGTGTGCTATAAACGTCAATATTAATCCTCCCAAAGCAATCATTTAATGATATAAACTTTAAAACAATGATATAATTAATTTTTCAGGAAAAATATCCACCAAAACAATAAATGCTGCAATTGTTCTCTTAATGGCATGCATGCATATTTGTATGTATCTAAACCCAAGGACTACAGATTGTATGGTTTTAACTGCAAACATGTATACACATCAATACAAGTACTGTCTAAACCAAACCAACAAGCCAAATCCACTGCCATCCTGTCAACTCCAAGTGGTAGTAACCCTACAGGGTAGAGTAGAACTGCCCTTTAGGGCTTGAGAGCCTAGTTATGTTTATGGAAGGAGACAGACTCTCATGAGCTGAGCTACTAATCATTCCTTTCCCAGTTGTATGTGATTACAGGATAAGAGGAATCCTGGTGAGGCGCTGTGGGCTAATGTGTCAGACTGCAAACCAGTTGAACTGGTGGTTCTAGCTCACCACCTGCTCCTTGGAAACCCTATACAGGGTTGTTAAGGGTCGGAATCAACTCGACAGTACTTAATAACAACAGGGATAAGAAACAGCCCACCTGGGCTCTTCACAGACCTAGGCCCATTTGGGAAAATTACTTCAAGTCTGCCATCTCACACACAGTACCTTAAACTTGGAAGTATACTATCTTAAAGTAAACATGGACACTTTTTGATAGTCATTATAGTAATAACTAATTCTGAAAAGAATTATCAACAAATGCTAAAGATAAATGCAAGATCAGTGAGAAATGTTTTAGCTTTAGCATTTAAACATTTTAAGCTTTAGCTGTTAAAGCTTCTCTCCACATAGTCATCAAAATGGGGAAAAATAGTACCTTTACAAGAGTCTACTGTAACCAAGTGATTAAGTTACCACCACCACCAATAATGTGACAAAGAGGTATCTATCATGTGCCTCTTGATTAGATGCACTGAAGGCAGAATTTTACTTCTGTGTCATTCCTGCCCAAACTGGACAGTCCAAATCTTATCATAAGAGAACAAAGAAGTCAGGAGACATTCCACAAAATAATTGTTCTTTACTGTTCAAAACTTTCACGGTTCTTAAAGACAAAAGAAAGTAAGACATTAGGCAGAAATCACAGCTAAATGGGATATATGATCCTGGACTAGCTCCTGGATCCAATGTTTTCAAAATTTGAATAGCCTCTTTATTAGAAAGTACATCAATGCTAATTTTCTAATGTACATCACTGTGTTATGGTAATGAATATGTCTGCTTCCATAAAGACTTGCAGGTCTGAAAACCTGAAGAGTCGTTACACTCAGTCATACAGGGATGCTATGATTTGGCATGGACTAGATGGCAGAGGGTTTGACTTGGTTTAGTTACTACAGAGAAATGTAAAGGGCAGCTCAAGAACACAAAGTATTATAATGAAATGTGCAAAGACCTGGAATCAGAAAAAGGGAAAAACACACTCAACATTTCTCAAACTGAAAGAACTGAAGAAAAATTCAAGCCTCAACTTACAACACTGGGCAAAATACTCAATGATGCAGAAAACATCAAAAGAAGATAGAGACTTCCGGTTTTGGCGGGCAGCAGAAAAAGTCAGGTAGGAAAAGGCTCCGTGGTGGGGGAGGGATTGAAAACACAGAGAAGCTGCGCTCATGGAACACCACCAGAGCTCTGGATCTAGCATAAGGTACAGGGTGTCATAAGTTTCCCGCAAGTGCAAATGGAAAATCACGGTATAAAGGAAAAAAACTGTGAGTTAGGAATCGCTTGACAAAGGCCTCCCTCTGCAGCCACCCCACCCAAGCAGAGCTCAGAGGGCAGGACTACAGCCAGACCTACACAGGGAACCTGCTCTAAAAGTAGTGCAGTAACATTGGCAAAAGGAGGTAGGGGGGATTCTAAACGTTTTTTCCTCCTCTTCCCTGTTGCAGCCTTCATTGCCCAGCCCAGATGCCTTCAGGAAGGTGGTTGTGTACCACCCCCCCCCAAAAAAAAAGTTTAACACTGAGCACATAGTTTTCCCATGACACAGAGAGAAAGAGCTTAGCAGCTGCTTATGACATCAGCATCAGAGCCACAGTCCTAAAATTAACTTGTACAGGACCCTTTACTCCAACCTATCTAGCAAATACAAAGCAGACCCATCAGGCCTGACAGACAAACCATATGAACAATATGTAAAACCCCAACATAAAAGGATGCAACAACTATCTAGAGAATTCCGCTGTACACAAGCAGATAACTAACTGACCTTCAGAGACAAAAAGAGCAAATCTTTCTTCCATTAAACTTCTCAATATCTATCTGTGCACCTCTACAGTGGTGACTAGAGGAGGGGCCTGAGAGAGCAGACACCCCTACCCACTATTGGAGGCTTCCAAGGTGCACACAAACTGCCTGTGTAGTCGGCCACAGTTTTATTTTTGTTTGAAAGTGGTGGTATTTGTCTCTGCTTTCATATTGCTTCTGCTCTTGGTCCTTTTGAACACAAATTTTTCCTGGAGGTGGGAGCTTTTTCTCCTTACGTTACCCAAGAACAGTCAGCAATCGTGGCCATATAGCCAAGCTTACAAGCATACCCCATAATATTCCACCATTGAGACAAGAGCCAGTAACAGCTGCTAAACATTACATGCAAAAAGCAAGTCTATCTCCTGATCATATCCACCTGGAGACACCCAGTAAGTTTAGTAACACAACAACAAACATCCATTTAAGTATTAAAAAACCCACATGTTGTTGTTGTTGTTGTCAGGTGCCATTGAGTTGGAACCAACTCATAACGACCCCATGCACAGCAGAACAAAACAATGTCCAATCCTGGGCCAACCTCATTATCGTTGTCACACTTGAGTCCATCAATGATGCCACCTGGCTGATCCATCTCATTGGGGGTCTTCCTCTTTTTCTCTGACCCTCCATCTT